CGTCCTCGACGAATCGTTGGTTTTCCCAGCATTTTCTTTGTTGCGTTGATAGTAGTACTAATGACTCTCAAGGTGGGGTTGCTGCTACCATGACTCCTCCTGCTGCTCCCACTGCTGTGGCGACCGGCTCATCGTCATCATCTGGCCGGAGTTCTGGAGCTCCCAAGTTGGAGAATGCGCCGGTAAATCTGGCAGCGTGGAGAGGGTCAATGCGGCGCGAACTGCTTGATATTCTGCATGATCATGTTCAGGGAACGAAGACTATGTAGTGGCGTATATAGGGGGAGGGAATATGCCTATGTCTAGGTATCTCGATCCGCGTATTTCTCCGGAGCTATCCCTGCTGGTGGAAGTGGAAGATTTAAAGTCCCACGGTGTGGAGTTGTGGAGGAAGCTCGATGCCAGCTCGGCGGGAGATGCCGCGGCTGCTCAGGATTCAAAGCAGGTGAGATTCGTAACTGTTGGGTGGACTGCGGGAACATTTGCTGGTTTTGTAGATTATTTTTATACTCCATGCGCAGAGTTCGGAGACGCTGAGCATGGTAGATCTCGTTGCAGAGAAGATATTGGCGGACGATGCCAGAAGGAAAGGGAATAAGGAGAGCGCCTTTGAAAAGACGTAGTGCGTGGACTCTGTGTTATGGTAGAGTGGTAGCGGCTCGAAGTAGATACACTCTAATATGTGTCCCTTACGTGTCACATCTGGTCCTTGGCCGTCTACAGCAGAGGACGGTCATGTCTAGCCTGGTGGAAGTACTACCATTGCATCTGATGGGCCTCTGTGTGGAGGGCGATGTCATCACGATAGACCAGCCGGGTAGGGAAGGGCATTGGTTCTAAGAAGTAGTACTTAATCGTTTTAGGCGCATTCCGTGACTTCCACATCCGTTCGAATCCTACATCACTGTCTCTCCTGGCTGAAGCTTTGCATGATTTACAGCGCAATTTCGGTGCTGGACTGGGCGTCTCTCGACAAGCAGGTATGCTCGGGTAAGGGAATCGGTGTAGAGTGCAGGATTGTGGTGTAGGGCGCAGAGTATTGAAGATGAACGCGATAGGAACAGCTGCCAAGTACGTAGTGGACTACGTGCTACGACTGGCCAAGAAGATGACGAGACGGAGCCCCTGTGGATGGGGACACCAAGGCGGTGAAGCCTCTCTGTCGTGATAGTAGGGCACATCGAGATTATCGGTGATGCTGCTTTCTCATATTTGTGTTCTTG